AAACTATAAATTTGATAACCACTTATATACCATTATTTCTAAAACTTCTATTTTCAAACTATTTTAAAAATGTATGTTTATCATTTAAAATACCTAAGACAATCTTAATTCTCAAGAGGGAAATGTATCCTGTTATGAAGATACAGTTATTTGGGTAATTCATAACAATAGTTTATTACTAAAGTTCGCTGAAAGTTCAGTCATGGAATTATATATATGGCAACACTTCATTAAAAATGAAATTTTTATTAAGTGTAACATTCTAATAAATGAACTTATTTAAGTTCTCATTATATGTTCATGCAATAAATTTTAGGCAGCTTGAAGAGAACACATGAAGAAGAAGATGATTTCGGAAGCATGCAAGTTGCAACTGCACAGAATGGCTGAATCAAGAGCAACGTTATAGAGGATGTGAATTTCTTTTTCGGAAGGAAAAACACTAGAGACAATAATGATGTAAAATGGTAAAAACACAAGTAGTTTCTTTTCAATTGTATGTTGCTTCCAGATGTGTTTCTTTACAACTTGTTAAGCAACATTTTAAGATGTTGGATTTCTGCAATAGATGGCACTGATGGTTTTACTTTTTTTTTTTTTTAAACATTTTACATTTCTATTATAAACCAAGAATTTTGGACTTACAAAGAGGTATTATTGCAATAATGCACTTTTCATACTTGAAATTTATTTGTATGATATAGTTATTACTTTAAACAAAATGCAAGTTAGGGGAATTTGTTTATAAAATCTGGGTAATTTATAAAAAAAGAATTTCCTAAAGTTTGCTAAAAACTCATTGTGTTCTATTATTACATTTAAAAAATAATTTTACAGTTCAATTTTATGATGGAGCCTCTTACAGAAACATTAACAAATGCAGGAATCTTGCACATTTATTTTTTAGTATAATTAAATAGCTTAATTACCCTTTTCTTTTTTAAAAAAAAACTTCATTAATAATCTTTAAATCATGACATTAGCCAACTACTTAAAGATGATCCAAGTATTGCTTCCTTTCCTACCTAATTTGTTTAGTCTATAGAAACAAAGTTTAATGAACAAAAGATGCTTTTTGCATTTCCTAAAAGCCAAATGTTGTATTTCTTTTTAGAGTTGCTTAGCTCATTTTTCTTTGTCCAAAATGGTTCTAATAGAATATAATAAACCAATGTAGCACTATTTTTTTCCTAAATGAAGCCCAAAAAAGAAAAGTGCCTTGCATCATTAAAAAAAAATAAATCTTCATGACCTCTAAATTAGTATGTAGAACAATTAAAAAATTTTTAACATTATTCTGTAATTTTTTTACACCATAAACTGAAAGTCTGAGGCTTGACGAAACCTCAGTAAATAATTTGGAAATATTTAGTCCTTCATTTTATAGTGTCTTAATGATTCTTTGAGGTTGTTTTGGCTCAGAAGCTTTTCTTTGAAGATTCATTTATTGGGGACATTGATTTGTGGGAGACTTTAGTGTATTTTAAATTCATGTTTTAATCAGTTCTTTACATTGAGTTAATCCAAAGTCATTTTATGGATCCTGTTTTCCCCTATTTTTATTTATATATTCTAAGAAAAACACTTTTGCTATTTTAAGTATGCTGTGAGGGAGGAGTGTTTTAACTTTTTATAGTTGATAATTTAGGTTAGCACAAACAAAACGCCTTTCTAGCTCACTTTTCTCAGTCCTCTCTTGAGGTGCTTTATTTCCGTATGTTCCCTTGGTACCAATAGGTACTATGCAAGGTAACATTACCCCAAGTTACTTGCTTGGCTGTCCTCCCTAAAATGTAATAATACAGTAAAAACTTCTTTTATCCAGCATAGCAGGAGAGTAGAAATGAATTAAAATTGCTTTGTTAATTAAGAGTTAATTCCTGTTGACCCAGGTGGTATTCCTCATTTCCCTTCCCTTTCACTATTTTACCACCCTGAAAACAGCATATTGTTAATTCCATTGTGGTCTTGTATTCTGTTGTGTGATTAGGTCATTTGGTGTGGTAGAGTCAAGGTTTGCATTGAGTATTCAGAAATTCCAGTTGGTAAAGTGCCAGGTAACACAGCTTTCCTGTAAATAGAGCACTATTGGATAAGTCAGCAAAGATCTCTCTTGTAATCTAATAATATATGATGCTTCATTCAGCAGAAACTCTGCTCAAAAGAATCTTCATAGTAGTACATTTAGGTTTTAAAAATGAGGTAACGATTTTTAAAATTAGCTTAAGTATATGTAACTAGTAGTTGGGCCAAAAAATACAGATTTGGTTATGTTTTATAATTGGCAATTTTCCACTTTTTCTAACCACTATAATTTTTATGTTGTCACTAAAGTGCCTGCCCAGCACTGTACATTAAAGATCATCTCTCACAAATATTAGGAAAGGGGACTGTCATGTGGACAAAACATGATGTTTATTCTTCCTTTCATGTAAGAACATAGCAAGTTTGTTTTGTCTTGGGTCCATTCTTCCACCTAATGTTCAACTAGTTCTTCCTATTCTTCCAGTTGGTTACATTTCTGTAATTCCTTTCATTTCCACTGATGTTTTGTGATAGTTAACTGCAATACATTTAACCAATCATGATTTATTTTCTAGAATATTTGAATAATGTGTAAGTGATGTAGTACCCAATTTTTAACATTAAATATGTAACCTGGGCACAGAATTTAAGGTGAACTTGCATTTAAACATAGGACAACTGTTGTATTGTCCATTTTGAAAGTGTGAGGCTTAAATACTGAAAATATTCAAACTGGAATGGCAGTCTTCTTACTTTCTAAATTTCAGTTCATTGGTTTTCATTTAAATTTATTAGATGTTTAGCAGTTTTGTTTATTTGTATCTACTCTATGGTGGAAATGTTAAATCATTATAGTTTTTGCTATGAACTCTCAACTACTTAACTTTTAGAGCAGAATATATGTTTTGGGGGGATTTTGTGCTTCACCTGAAGTAATTTAGAAGTATTGTTCAGACAATGTTAAGCATGTCCTTTTTAGAAAATACAAGGTTTCTAACTGTCTTATTACCATGGTATTCAAGTAAATTAGAAGTATTTAACTGCATTCTTGAATTATAAAGTTGGGATGTGTGTATGTATATATATATGCATATATACATATATCAGGATCTCAACTTGATGTAAAGTAAATGAGCAGTTACCTGGTGGATGTTTTTTTTGTTGTTGTTTTTAAATAACTGGCTTAGCCCACACTTCCACAACAAAGCTTCACTTAATTATTTACTTTATCGTTGTCCATTCAACAATGCTCCAAAAAGGAAATGTTAGGAAATAGCTGAGAATTACTGAAAGATTTTATTTTATTTTTTGGTTAAAAAATATGTTTCTAGGTCTTTGAATGCTGGATTTTTTTTTTTTTTTTTTTTTTTTTGTCTTACCCATCCATGGCAGCTAAAAAAAAAAAAAATCACTCAAAATATTCAGGTTTACATGTTAGCTCTCTTTATAGGGAGTTGCCATACCTCACAGTTCAAAGTGTATTCTATAGATCAGTAACATTATACTGACATGTAATTGCAATTTACTATGCAGCAAAAATTCAAGAAAAATAACCTACAGTGTCTACTTACCTTTGTATAGGCAGTTGATTACATTACTCTGCTTTCAACATTTGTACTTAGATAAAATGCTTATGTATGTATAGGAATGTCACAGTGCGAGATGCTGCTAGTCCAGACACAAAGTATTAAAATTATTTTGTGAAGATTGGTGGTTGTATTAAAGCTGTTGTGCCATTATACCTCAAACGATTGAAAAGCTTGTTTATACTGCTTATGCCTCAAAACTTCGTGACTGAGATTGCTGGCTTCTAGGGATAAGAAGTAACTTAGCTTTATTTCCACAGATTAAGAAGGATAAATGAACATTGGAAATTGATAAGCACTTAAGAGTATCTTCCAAAACATTGTGGTCATACACACACACAAAATACAGTCGGTAGTCCATGCAAGGCCCAAATTTCAGCTCAGGTATAATTTTAGGGATTAGCTGATCAAGTTTAGAGTTGGAAGTTAAGAAATTCGTGCCTGAAGGAAATGGTAGGTAATCCATAGATCATTTTCTAGCCTATTAAAAAAAATACTTCTTTGTACCTCTTCCCCCTGTTAGCCCACCTACATACTATTCTTCATCAAATCAAAGATGCCATTGCTACTCCATTATTTTAGATACCACTAAAAGGCAAAATATTACTGAATAAACTACAACAAACCCTTGATCATAAAGTGTACCCAAATTTCCAAAATGTTAGTGTAAAAAAATGTGCATCTTAGAATAAGTCAAATAGAAATATACACAATATATGGGGCACAGTAAAAAAATCACACCTGCCATTTCATTATACAATACCTTTTCAAAAGCAAGTAATGCTCAAATGTGAATATAGTTAACGTTTTTTGCAGGTTTTTTTGTATTCAAGTTTACTCACAATATGGCTTAGAAAATCATAAACATACCCTTGGTAACTAAAGCTAAATACAGAATACCATTTTCCTCCATGACACAACTTTTATATACTTGCCTGTAACTGTTTCCCTTAGGGGGGATTTAAAGTAAGACCTTAAGAACACCATTTAAAGAAATATTTTGAAATATCAACCATGTAGACAGTTTTACATCAAATTGTTCAGTGGTAAGAAATGTAGTAAAGCATATAATTTTGCCTTTTATTAGGCTTATTTTTTTAACATGGGTGTAGTCGATAAAGCCACTATCATGGCAAGGTTGTGGGACTCCAATAAAGGCAAAACTAGCTTTGTTGCTTTCATTAATCCAAATGAGGTAGGCTGAGTCAAAGGGATGAGAAACAGGTGGTCTTCACTTTCCAAGTTCATTTAATAGGGAGCACACAAAACTAATTTTATGAACCATGACTTGACCTAATAATTCAATAGAAGACTCAAGGAAAGCACAGACATTAGGATTCTAACAAAAGACTAGTCATTATAGGAACAGGTTTAATGTAACATGGAATGCAAAAGATTAGAACCATTAATAACATATTTCATACCTACTTCAACTTTAAAAAAATAAATAAAATCAAAACAGGATAGTGACCAGAATATTCAATAGTACTCTTTATAAATCATGTTAAATAGAAAAGGCTCCATCAACATTTTAAGAATGTAACAAATATACATTTTTAAAATATTCCACTCAATTTTATAATCTATTTTTCATAAAAATGTTCCTCAGAAGAGGCTTCAGACACACATGAAAAGATGAGAATTCAAGTTAAAAATACATAATGTGCCATGATTTGCTAATGAATGTTAAAAAGTACCTTATATTTGCTCTTAGGTAACTTGAATAAGTATTATATTTCACATACAAGACAGGTGGTACTGTACCTACATTAGAATTATACAAACCTTTAGATGTACATTTAAACTGTTTTACTTTGAATCCTGTCACATTTTTAATTTTCATTTGTTTTAAAAGGCTGACCAGATTATTTGCCAATACAGTATTAGTACAGTTGGAATGTACTACATTTAGTTATATCTCTAACATAACCAATTTCAAGTAATATATGGGAAACAACACACCCTTAATTTGTATTTAGATGTTTCTTTGAACCAAAAGTATTAATTTTATGAATGTGGTAAGAAACAGTCTTATTCATTGTATGGTTTTTTTTTTTAAATGAGCAGTACCGGTAGCAAATACAGAACTCCTATATTGTGACTACCAAGAAATGAAGCCAAACTTTAGAAAAATACAATGCCAGAAAAGATTCAAGTTAAAAATATATTCCTTTGGTTAAAAATCATCCTCTTTATAATACTCATTTGTAATCTAAACTCACAGATGTCCCACCAACCCACAGTAATCTTCTAAATGTCATTATATTTGTTGTATTACAATGTTTTTTCAACCCAGTATTTGTGAAGGTCACTGGACTGCAGCAAATTATTTTAACTCTAGAAAGGGTATATAGCACTACTGCATTAGCTCCTTTACCAATTGTTTTTAAAAATTTTTACTTTAGAAACCTCCGACACATATAGTTTTCTTCAGATACTGTATATCCAAACTTTTTATAGAAACCAACATTTTGTGGTAGACATTCAAGGGTAATCTTATAACAGTTCAGTTTCTTGCTTAGCAAAGTAAGGGTTGATAATAACCTGAAATTAAAAAAAAGAGGGGGCAAAACACAGAGCATTTGTTAATAAAAATGGATTTTAGTAACAACAGAATATTACATAAAAATTCAAGTTTATATTAGAAATAGATTTAGGTCATGGCTTTCCAACTATATTCATGTACATATTCAAATTATAAGTGGACATGTATTTAAATCACCCAAAGCATTTTAGTTTGTTTCAAATACACATTATCTGATAATCTTCAGCCTATTAATAAATAGGACAAATACTAAATACATCCTAACCCTTTTTAAAAAATCACTTTTAAGATTATCAACACTAAAGACTGTCAGTCTTTTTTAAAAATATAGCCTATAGTGTTTTCCAAAAATATTTTTTCCTAAATCTATTCAAACTACTTAGGAGCAGTCAACATTCCCACATAAAGTGGGTAAATAATAGCTTTGTTCTTTATCATTTTTAAAGCTAATATTTGTGAAGGTAGATTAACTCTGGATTGGAATAATTAATATGAAGTAGAAACAAAGCAAAATAGTATATGCCTTTACAAATCCTTACAGAATCAAAACCCAGTATAAGAAGAGGATTCTGACTGCCTCAGGGATACTAAATAAATAAATAAATAAATAAATAAATAAATAAGATCTACAAAAATTTATCTGAAGTGTTTTTCTCATGTTTGCATGAACTAAAAAATCATGTCAGTTTGAAAATAGAACATCTTGACTAAAGTTATAAAATTATAAAGGGTATGACAAAGTGAAGACTACAATACTAGAAACTGGTCTTTTTAAAAGACTTAGGTAAATGCATAGAAGATTATACAGTAATGGCTATTTCAGTATGTTTCTAAAACTTAGAGGAGACTGAGAACATATCCCTTGTTTTAAAATATGACATAGATATGGGGAAATCACCTGATTCAGCCAAAAGTTTGTTTCCTACTAATATGAGAATACGACTATTAAAAATTAATCACAGATATTACTATCAAATGGTCACTTCCAATTCCCACCATTTATGGTAAAACTAATATAAAGTACTTTCTCTTAAATTCAATCTAAACTGCAGAGAGAATGGGTTCATAATTAATGATGCTCAAACATAACTTCTAACAGGAAAACATGTATAACAAGTATCTTGGCAAGAAACTGTGAACTGAAACACAAAAAGCATCTTAATTTATCCAGGGTTACCTTGTTTCTGCCTACTTACAATTTGCCAAGCTGCTTTCCTCTGCATTCATCACTAACAACAACATCTTCTACTCTTCCTCTCTGAAAATATTTACAATATTTAAAAGACTAAGCATGTAGTTTTGTTTTTAGGTGAATCAACAAGTGATGGATGATAAAAATTCACTAAGTGTTTTGTAAACTTAACATAAAATGCAATTTTTTTTTTACTTATAGAGGAAATAATGAATGCATCAACTTGTAGCCTGATCTTGTTTTGTCTATATCCTGAACCTCCCCACACCGCTGTTTGTTCCTATCTTTATTTCAAGTGAGTCATGAGAAGTAAAGGAGCTCTATAGGCATTAGAAATGTCACAATTAGAAAAAATTATAGTATTCTGAATCCTTTTCCACTTGGCAACTGATGGGAATTTATAGTATATTTAAGGTACTGTTTTCCAAAAGAGCACTATGTGTTCTAAGGATTACTGCCAAATTTTATGGTCCTTTCTTGGTTTCTCTATAACCATATCAAATATAATACCTTACAATTTTTAGCAAGTAAAATTCATACTGTTAATACATTTTCTTCCTCACAGCTAGAACAGAGTGGGAAATTGCGTCTAAGGGATTTCCAAGAAGTAGAACTTTTTTCAGGGCATATTTATACCTATCATTTTACAATGAAAATCAGTAAAAGATTTTTCTAATGGAAACCCAACATAGATTTTGCTAGAAAACACCTGTCCATTTTAGCATTATTTGGAACACATACCTTAGCACAGGAATGGATGAATTTATGTTCTATTATCAGAGTTGCCGTAGCAACAATCTGTCCTAAAGTCACATCTTCCACAACTGTAACATAATAATCCCCAGATTTCTTCATGTGCTCAAAAGATTCTGTGGAGATTGAAAACAGTGTTATGTGGCAGACATTAAACTTCAATAGGTCCCAGAAAAATATTAGGATAAGCTGACCTCGTTATTGAACATTTAAAGCTATGTCACCAGAGTACTTTACACTTTGTTTCTAAGAAAATACTTAAAATGACCAAGTAACTGAAATATCAGCAATCAGTAAATTGGAATATAGTCCATACGTGTAAAGAATATGCCAGCAAAGTAAAATTAATAAAGCCATTTTAGATGAACAGCACTTACAGAAATAAATTGTAGATGTGCCACTTCTGTGACTAGTCATTACTTAGTTACTTTAAATCAATTTCTTTAACCATTAAACTCAACATGTTATTTGAATAGAACAAAACTCTTTGCAAATTTTAACAAAATGTTTTTACATGACTCCATTCTGTAGGTTTTAAGACTTTGGTTTCCAAATATTTTGACAAAAATAGTTCTGTCTTTCCCTTGTGATCTGAAGTGTTTCATGATTACATGACTTGCTTTTTTAGAAATTAGAATCATCATTTTAGTTTTGTTCCCTTGGGAAGCACCTGTGAAGTAGGTGAAAAATACGTCTCCATTTCCAAGTAATTTTCCCAAGTCACAGCATATAGGAGCAAAGAGAGAAATAAGTACATTACTCTCAGATTTGAATTTTAGTACTTATATTGGCTGAAATAACAGTTTCTCATCTAATCTGATATGCATGCAAAGAGGAATTCAGGAATAAAAAATGAGCCTAATAGTCTCACATATTTCCACAGTCTCATTCTAGATAGGCGTCTGGGGTAGGAAGAAGAAATTCAGTGAAGGAAAACAATGAGAATCAAAATGATGATCTTCATCTCAGGAGGGTGAGGTAGAGTACAAAACAAAACAAAATTACCTATTGAAGGAAATGAAGAAATTACAGAAAATAGGAAAAAGACTGTTGGACCACTGGATGGAGTCAGAAAGGTTCTAGTTTTTCCTTACCAATAACTACTTGTGATCTTGGGTGAGCCATACATTGATTCTCTCAAATATTTCAAATATTTCAAGGGAGAGCTCAATCGTAACTCTAAATTACATGCTAACCTTAAAAATCAATTAAAAAAGCCCCCCAAAACATAGAACATATTTCTTAGATTTTTGACTTGGTGATTAAATTTCTGTGAATTAACCTAACCACATGAAAGAAAATAACTACAATAAAAAAAAGAATCTAGAGTTGCCACCTAGGTTCTATGGTACAGTAATTACCTAAAAGTAGTCAATAATTATCTAAAAGTATCTAAAATACATTTGTATTTTAGAACAGTTTAGTCATGTAAAACATCTAAGGAAGAAAATAGCTAATTTGGACTTCTGATCCAAGATGGTGGAATAGGTAAATGCTGTGCTCGCCTCCTCCCACAACCACATCAAAATTCCAACTAAATTGTAGAGCCGTCCTTGGGAGTCACTTGAAGATGAGCTGAACAGAGGTCCTATGACAAAGGATATAAAGAAGCAGCCGCATCAAGACTAGTAGAAGGGGCGGAGATGCAAAATGGGCTGGACTCACATCCATGTACAGGAGTTAAGAATTGGGAGTATTACCTCAGCCCCACATCAGGGTCCCCAGCCCAAAGCACCAGTGCCAGGAAGAGGAATCCCCACAACAGCTGGCTGGGAAAAGCAGAGATTCAATCTGGGTGAGATGAAGGGCTCCTGGATACACAGGCATCCTTTTAAAGGACCTGAGCATAGACTCACTCACTCACTCACTCTAAGCTCCAGAAAAGGGACAGCTCAGAGAGTGCCAGGGACACAGAGAGGTAATGAACTGTCTAGCTCCAAGGTGAGGGTGGAGTCACAGCTCTCTGGGATTAAAGTGCCAGCAAGCACCATTTTCCTCTTATTGAGCCCCTCACAGCCAGGAGGTGCAGGGGGGTGCCATATCTTAGTGTCTTTCAGAAGCTAATCCACACAGGTGGCTATCTTGTGACTGCACTGTGGTCATTCTTAAAATATCTCAAAGGTCCCTAAGTAAGCAGTGGTGCCTCAACATGTCTTGTATCTTGTTCAGCAGTCCCAAGCCTGGTAATGGTGGCTGGCCTCAGGTCACAGCATAACCGCTTCCAGATGCCTTAGAGCCCAGCACAAACAGCTACCAACCACAGGCTCTATATCGCTCACCAAGTGGCCCCAGGTTAGACACAGGTAGCAGCTGCGCTTGGCCTGTGTGCATCAAGAGGACACAGCACCAATATACCTACATGGTGGCCAGTTTCAGGTGACATGAGAGCACCACCCAATTAACACTACAAACAACACACCCAAAGAGTGGACTCAGAAGGAACCAGAGCCCCACTAAAGCAAATACCTATCCATGGGGTCGATCCCCAGACAATCGCTTGTCCACAGTAGTCATGGCCAGTCCTTACAGCCAGTCAGCCTGCGGGCCAGTCTCACCCACTGACCTGCCAACAGCAATAAAGGCTTAACTACAACAGAAGGGCATACACAAGGGACACCTAATGAGCACCTGGCTCAGGTGACCTGGGAGCCTGTGCCACTGGGCCCCAAAGGACATATTACATAAAGTCACTCAGCCAAGACTGGAAGACATAGCAGATCTACCTAATACATAGAAACACAGGGAGGCTGCCAAAATGAAACAAATATGACCCAAGTGAAAAACAGGGTCATAAAAATTACAGAAAAACAACTAAACAAAATGGAGGCAAGCAATCTACCAGATGCAGAATTCAAAACACTGATTAGAAGGATTGTCAGTGAATTCAGGGGAAGAATAGATGATCTTAGAACTGCTAAGAGGAAACAAAAAAGAAAACAATTAGTCAAAAATGAAGAATATAATAACAAAAAATACATTAGATAAAATCAATAGCAGATTAGATAAATCAGATGATTGAATTGGTGATTTGGGAGACAAGGCAGCAGAAAAATACCCAATCAGGATAGCCAAAGGAAAAGAATTTTTAAAAATGATAGTTGAAGGGACCTCTGGAGTAACAGCAAGTGTGACAACATTGGTATCATAGGGGTACCATAAGAAGAGAGGGAACAAGGGGTTGAAAACCTAAATTAAGAAATAATGACTAAAAACTTCCCTAACTTAGTGAAGGCAAATAATACAAGTCCAGGAAGCGCACAGTCCCAAACAAGATGAACCCATAGAGATCTATACAAAGACACAACATAATTAAAATGCCAAAGGTTAAAGACAGAATCTTAAAAGCAGCAAGAGAAAAGCAGTTACCCACAAGGGAGCTCAAACAAGACTGTCAACTGATGTTTCAACAGAAACTTTGTAGGCCCGAAGGGATTGGCAAATATTCAAAGTGATGAAAAGCAAGGATCTAGAACAATGATTACTCTACTCACCGAAGTTATCATTTAGAATTGAAGGACAGATAAAGAGCTTCCCAGACAAGAAAAAACTAAAGGAGTTCACCACCACCAAAGCAGTATTACAAGAAATGTTCATCGTTCTTATTGGAGAAGGAAAAAAAAAATATGAAAAAGAAAATATTGCAAAGAAAAAAATTCTCACTGACAAAAGCAAACAATAGAAAGAGTAGATCACCATCACTAAAGCTGATACAAAGGATAAAAGGCAAAAGTAGGATGATCATGTATAATTACAACAATAAATTAAGGGATACACATAAACACAACAGTAAATACAAAAACACAATAGTAAATAGAAAAACATAAACAATAGTAAAAACAACCATCAACTTAAAATAGACTACTATAAATCTAGCTTTGGTACATGTAAAGCACATGGTAACCACAGACCAAAAATCTACAAGAAATATACAAGAAATAAAGAGAAAGGAATCCAAACACAACACTATAGAAAGTCATCAACATAGAAGAGAGCAAGAGAAAAAGGAAGAGAACTACAAAAACAATCAGAAACAAACAAAAGAGGCAATTAATTACATACCCATCAATAACTACTTTAAATGTAAATGAATTAAATGCCTCAGTAAAAAGCTGAATGGATAAGGAACATGTGGTACATATATACAACGGGATATTACTCAGCCATAAAAATGAAGTCTTACCATTTATGACAATATGGATGGACCTAAGTGGTATTATGCTAAGGTAAATAGGTTGGGCCGAGAAAGACAAATATCGTATGATTTTACTTACACGGGGTGGGGCAAAAATAAGTTTACAGTTGTTTCTATGGAAAAATACAATAACAAGTAATAATACAAGAATAAACTCAGTGTTCTGTGTACTCACAACTGTAAACTACTTTAGCCCCACACTGCATATGGAATCTAAAAAACAAACGAACAAGCAAAACAGAGATAAAACTCATACATACTGAGAAAAAACTGATGGTTGCCAGATGGGAGGGGAATTGGAGGCTGGGTGAAATTGGCAGTTACAGGGATGCAAAGTACAGCATAGGGAATATAGTCAATATTGTAATAACTGTAGGGTGCCAGGTGGGTACTTGAAATATTGGGGAACACTTTCTAAGGGCTATGACTTATCTAACCACTATGCCACCTGAAACTAATACAAAACAGTATTGAATGTCAACTGTAATTGAAAAGAAACTTTAGAAAAAAAAATAAAAATCGTTAATTCGTTACTTAAATAATTTCTATTTCTATTTGAACAAAAACACATGTAGTATAGACTGAACAGAGCTCTAAACAAAAATAACATCTTGTTTCCCTTTATTTCTTTTCATTCAGAAAATAGAGGCTATAGTACTTACTCAGAAATTGTTCAGGACTGACAACTCCAGTCTCTGTCAGCTGACCAAGTACCTTAAAAAATCCTAGTTTTGCAAAAACAGATTTCAAGTTGTGAGAAGAGCAAATGAAAGAGATATCAAATTAAACAGGTAGGATTATGGGCAATTATTTTTTCAAAACTTTAATGAATCATTTTAAAATTATGTCAGAAGATTAAACTGAAATCATTTATTCCTTATATAATCACTACGTAAAGAATAATAGGTTTTACCAATGGTTTTGCCTAGAAAGATTTTTGGAATAGTGCTAACCTTAATATTCAGTATTTATAGAACAAGCATATATAAATACAATGCAAATAATGCCTAATTTTCCCAAATATGTGACTTGATTTACTTAAAAGTGCAAGAAAAAGTACAAGTCTGTCAATGACCAAACATAGTCATTGTTTGTCTCATGTTTGTCTCATAGTCATTGTCTCACTTTAAAAATTAAATACAAAAAATAATCCAAAGTTAAGTATTACTTTTAAAAATTATCATCATCATCATCATCATCATCATCATCATGTTTCTGGAGAAAACAGAATGCTAACTATAACTCTAACCAGGATTTGTAAACTGAGTTCATACCTCTATTTAAATCAGCAGTACAAAGAGGCCTCAAAACCAAACCTTCTCCAGGATGTGTTGGGGAAATGTCCGGAGAAAATGTAGCTGTGTTCTGGCTCCAGTCCACTTCTTGGAGGAGACTTGGGTCAAACATAGGAGTTTCATCAAGTTTCATCTTTGCAGTAAGGTCTAAAATAGAATTTTAAGTGTTATTTTAGTTAATAGAAGGAAAGTTAGTATAGCTGCTGAGAAAGCTAATTTCTTAATAAAAATTAATGCAATAAGAAAAATTCTTTAACAGAAATGCAAGGTATTTTATTTTAGCTATCCCAAATCTAACATTAAATGCACAACAGATACACCAAAAAAATGCATGAATACTATCAAAGAGTAAACAAGTGACTAAAATGAAGTTTTGAACTTTAAAAGCTTACTTTAGGCAGGTCTTTTCAAACATTTTTTCTTAGGGGAATTCTGTGAATATCTGACTTTTCATGGGTTCTTATTTTTTTTTTACATTATTAGATTTTATTACTGGGCTTAGAAACCATTTGTCAGTCTTATTTGCATCTAAGGAAGAGTTATTGGGCACGTAACTTGGCTTTTTATATGAACTATGAACTGAAGGTAACTTCTAAACTGGTTTAAATTACTTAATTATTCTCCATGTTCATTGTTATGTAATATTTGATCTTAACTACGATAAATTCACACTAAGAGTATCTGCTTGATTTGTTTTAACAGCTGGGTTTCTAAAAATCTCCAAGTTTCTCAGCTGCATTTAAGAGACTTAAGAATAGCTAATGCTTTTCAGGCTATTGAAAAATGATCCAGTATGTTAGTTTCCTCTTTCTTTGAACATTTAGAAATTGGCAGGTTCTTATAAAACTGAGACTAAATAGCTATAAAAATAGAAGGGATGAAAAACATACAAAGCATAAAAACGGGAGGAGGGTACTTCTCAGTGGCTCAGAGTTGCTGGAAGAAACAGGGTTTTCCTAACAATTACCAGGTAACTGTAAAGCATTTCACTGCTATCCCTATACCTGGTTAAAGAAACTATTCTATTTGACACCTACCTCCAACTCTTTGAAACACAGAATTAAAGACCTATATCAATAATATGCTATCATAAAACAAGGAAGCAATACACAAAAAATTAAGATTCATTTAATGACAGAACAATTTCCCCAATAACCCAACGCCCAGATGTTCTCCATAGGGCAACTCTTGTTAACTTTACCTTAAAGGGAGGTTAAACGTCTGCCTCTGTGACACAATGTAACTATATAGGTAATGCTGCAAAGTAACAGAGGTTTGGGAAGGTAGGGTGGTGTAATAAGAAAAGTTAACATTGTTCAGCACTTACTGTGTGCCAGGCACTGCTCAAAAGAGCTTTTATACACTACTAATTCATTTACTTCAACAGTCCGACAGGGTGAAGATGATAATTATCTCCACTTTAACAAATGAGGAAATGAAAGCAGACATGTCAAGCAACTTGCCCAAGGTCACAAAATTAGTGGAGCCAGAATTTAATCCTAGGCATGGAAAGAGCATGAGCTCTGGAATCAGACCTGGGGATCGAATGTCAACTGTGTGACTGTGGCTAAGGTAGTTAAACTGAGAATCTGTTTTTTCATCTGTATTGAACAATGGAGAGGAAATTATTGCCAGGATGAAATGAATTACTGTGTACAAGCACCTGATAGTGCCTGTCGCATTGCAAGTGTTCAACAATATATTCTTTAGTTAGCAATTTAATTTAAAATTCATGTTTATAAATTCTTGCTAATTTTTTTCACCTCCAAATTAATTAACGAGACAGGCACTATGCTTGGTACAGGGACTACCAAAAGAACAACAGATTGTCTTTTATGTTTATGGTAAACCAAAAGTTAGCATTCTTGGATAGGAGAGAAGAAATATTTTAAAATCATAGTTTATGATATAGAATACTGAGAGATTTTTTTCTTTTATTTTCCCCCTCAAAAGGGATTCAGATCATGTTATATTCTAAACAACACTACACCTGGCTCTCAGAATATTAAGAGAAGGAAATAATTTTTGATGATTAAAACAATCACTCCTATTAAATTTAACAAGCTTACAGTCCATTTGAAAGAGATTTTTTTTTTTAAAGGTGGGGGAGAGAAGGGGTTGCAGAGTTTATAAAAAGTATTTTATTTATTTACTTTTAGAGAGGGGGGAGGGAGAAATAAAGAGGGAAACCTCTGATTCTTTGTGATCAGTTGCCTCTCGTGTGCCCCCAACTGGGGACCTGGCCTGCAACCCAGGCATATGCCCCAACCGCGAATCAAACCAGCAACCTTTAGGTTCACACACCAGCACTCAATCCAAGGAGTCACACCAGCCTGGATGAAACGGGTTTTTTTATAGGTTAATTTTAGTGCATGCATTTTGTTGTTGGTCCCTGATAACTGGGCACTTGAGGCTTTTGTATGGACTCTGTTCTGAACACTGAATAACAATGTTTTTTCTTTCAGGTGCAGATAAACAGGCTATATATTTAGCAATAAAGTAAAATATGTACATTAAGTATATAAGCCAGAAAGTATTAAGACTCTAAGTTCCTCAAGGCAACACACTACTTAAACATTTTGATATTTATGCTCTTTAACACAGTGTAACCATGAAGTTTAAAGAGAGTTTAGGTTTAAAGAGAGTTCAGAAGGGAATTTAGATGAACGATGAGACAATTTCAAGGTAAACTAGAGTCCTTTTTCCTGTAAAGTTGCCTGAGTTTACAATAAAATGTAGCCTGGAAAACATGCAAAATAGGATTAAAAATTTCCAAGAGAGAAAGGGGAGAGATACACAGAAGAATTAGAATTCTGAAGCCTGTACTAATGAATTTTAAACAGTAAATATTTTCTTGTGCATTTTTTCAACCAGATGGTCCTATTCCTTGAATGATCTTAAAAATCAATGATGTTAGCTAACATTTATGGAGCACTTTATATTTGTTAACTCTTAAAAATACAATGAAATATGTTATCATTATTATTCCCATTTTGCAGACCAGGAAGCAGGCACAACAACTTGCTCAAGACAACAGAGCCAATAAGAAAGAGACCTAGGATGTAAAAGCAAGCAACAGGGGCCACTCCACGGGGACTGGACCTGTGTGGGGGCACAGGGCCCCACCCTTGGATTAATTCTCTGCGGCCACTGTCTTGAAATCTTAATTGTTTTTTAACAAAGAGGTCTGCATTTTCATCTTGCATGGGTTACCACAGATTATGTAGTCATTCCTGCATGATTCCAGACTGTACTCTTAGTACTGAAGATGCACAAATGAAAATAAATTTCCTACTTTATTGTACAAGAGTTAAAGATGTAGTCAAAAGCAGCTCTTGTAACCTATATTTGGAAAATAAATATTTCAAGCTAGTCAAAAGACATTAAACAAAACATGCTGGATATAAATAAGAATCCCACAACTAGATAGTCAGAAATTAGTATCAAAATGTTTTATGAGCATTTTTACAAAAACAGAGCCATACTTAAGGTTAGTTGCCTTCTTTTATCTTACTCTGCCCCATATGGGAAAATTGTGCTGGTGTCCAATTACTATGCTGGACAAACTAAAGTAAGATATGGTGTGATTCATATTTGAAAAGATTTTAGAGAAAAACAGATAGGTAAATTTATTTGGCTTAAAAAATATTTTAGCATCTTAAGGTACTGCAAATCTAGGAAATTTCAGCAAACATAATTGCACAGTTGCTTGAAGCTCAGCTTCATTATTACCGTTGGGATCTTACTTAAAATATTTTAGACTAATTTAAAAGTAAGTCCTAATCCTCCTTACATATTTCTCAAAAACCTTTCCTATTTAACCACTAAATTAGCATGCATTTTTACAAGGCTCTTATATGTCTAACCTTAGCCCAATAAATGCCTAGTGAATCAATAACAGATGGTGTAAAATTTATCAGGAGGTCACATTCCAGAAAATCCAGAAGGAAAAAGATTTGCCAACTAGCACACGCAGTTTATATAACAAAAACTAGACATCAAATATATTTTTACTAGGATTACCTTAAGTTTTCATTCAGTTGACTGATTCTTTGGACACAGTTCCAACAATTTTGCCCCCAGTCTCTATAACGCACTAGATAGTACAAATAGGGAGGAGTTGCTGCTTGAAGCAAGCAACTGAAAGCAACAAGTAATAGACCTTGGGAATGAAGACTTTAAAAGTTGATATAAAAAAATTTAAAAACCATCTAAGGCTAAATCCAAACTGTCGTATGTATTTCAAGAGCTCCTGGGGCAACACGACACTACTTCAGTACGGTGCACGGGGGAAAGGGAGGCTTGGGTCGTTTGGGACGAGGGTTCACCTACATGCGTTTTACAACAATTTCAGTAATAATTTGACTGGACTTTTAAAAAAACGTTTTAAATGCTCACCCAAGGATATGCTTATTCATTTTTTAGAGAGAGGAGGGGGAGGGAAAGAAACGTCGATGGGTTCCCTCCCATATGTGCCCCAACCAGAGATCCAACCGCAGTCTAGGAATGTGCCCTGAGCAAGAATCGAACCCTCAACCTTCCGATGTATGGGAGGGCGCTCCAACCAACCGAGACACCTGGTCAAGGTAATGTGACTGAATTCTTAATCTAAAAAACACTCCATTCACTGATGACTTCAAGTGAATGGTGATAAGGCCTGGCCATATCACTAAATTGTACAATTACACTTCACTTGAGAATTGTAAAAAGTACTTTCTGGTAATTTATTTGATCCTTATAATCCAGGCATTATTTCCACTCTACGGACCACGAAACTAAAGCATATGGAGCTTCCAGGAAATGACCCCAAGGTAGCACAGAAGTGAGTGAATTGGACTAGAATCCTACCTTGTTTTCCCATCTTGAGCTCTGCACTAGCATATTAAATCGACATCACAGTACCAGAGGTAGCCCTGTCTCCCCTATGCTAAATAATGTCAGTGAATCTTGCCTGAAAAGAACTGATCTAAATGATTTCTTGGATACCTTAACAAAACCCCATAATCGTCTGTTCAATCTTGTATGAAGTTGAACTCGGTTTACATAAACATAAGCTCCTATAACAGAAATCACGGTACTCAGTGTTTCTAGGGGTAGAAGCCCGGGGAAAGAGACAAAGGATGTCCCTCTTTCCCGCAGTGAAAGCTCCAATTTAGTCAGCGCAGGTGATCTTCGGAGCAGGAGCATGTCCTCAAGTGGCTCACAACCGCTGTGGGGCGCGCGTCGGAAAGGAACTGGGTGGGGGTTCGGGGAAGAGCGTCCGGGGCTTTGAAGCCCATTCAAAACCGACGGCAGAGACTGAGCAGCTGCCTCGATCCCCATGCCAAAGCCTGGTGAGCGAAGTTAGTTTCAATCCCAGTCTCTACTCAGGCCCTGCCAGGAACACCCTTGCTGGCAGGGCCACTGGCCATCATCCCTAACCTCTCCTCCAGGCGCGTATCCGCTCAACCTGCTCCGAACCGCGCTCCACAACCTCCTGTCCACGCATCGAGCTGGCAAGGATTATTGCTCGGCTCCCCAAACGGAACCGCCCGCTCCCCCACCGAGGGCCTACCTTGCCTCGCCCGGGGGCAGCAGTCACACCTGTTCGTTAGATCTGCAGGCAGGCCCACCACAGCACCCTGGACCCCCGGCCGGGCCCCGCTCTCGCTCCCGGGCCCCCACCCCGCCTCACCTGTAGAGGCCCTGCAGTCGGTACTCCTCTCCGGGACCAGCGGACTCCCACCCACTCGGGTACACAGCAGCGGAGCCGGATCCTGCTTCAGCGCCAACCCCACCTCCCCCACCCCCCGCACCACAGTGGCCGTCGCCGCCGCAGCCACCGAGACGTGGCAGCGCCGACGCCTCCACCCCGCCCCCGCCCGCTTACGCAGCGCCTCGCGCCGACAGACGGAGGCCGGGAGCAACCCCCAGTGCGCAGCGGGGGCGGGGCGTGGGCGGGGCCTGAAGCTTTAAGTCACGCGCCCGGCGGGGGCGGGACAGCCCAGGGAGTCATTCCCCGGCGGCCGGGAGGCCGACTTCTGACCTTGCTCCCTACGGCCTTCCCCGCGGCGTCGGTATGTTGGTTTAGTGGAAATAATTCTACGTAGGAGTCAGCTAAGCGCTGTAAGCGGTAACTAGTGTGGGCCTCGGATTCCCAGAAACCAAGGACTGGCCTCTTGCCTTCTTCATTTGACCCTTGCTGTCCCTTTCCTTAATAGTCCGTCCGTTAATTTGAATTTTGGCTGCTTACTGGCAGCTGAAGCTCCTTATCCCATTTTCTGAGTCAAAAATCCAGCCTCTTTGAGCCTTTATTCTACTCCTTCGAGGCTGTGTAGTTCTCCCTCAATTTTTTTTTTTTTTTTGGACGAACACGGGGTTGTGACAGTGGTTCTCAGCTGCAGAGATTTTGTCTCCCAGAAGACAATTGGCAATGCTTGGGATAGAGCTGTTCCTGGTATCCTTCCAGGTGGTAGAGGATATAGGCAGGTAGAGACCAGGCATGCTACTAAACGTTTTACAGTGCACAGGACAACACCCCACAACAAATATTTACCTGGCCTGACATGTAAGTACTGCTGAGATTGAGAAACCCTGGGTTAGGAGAAGAAAAATGACTTTTCTCCGAGCTCCCATTTCCAAAGCGTTTTTACATCAGTGGCAGGTGTTCCCATTTTCCTGATTAATAAACAGGTTCAGAGATGTTAGGTAATTTACCAAAGTTACATAGCTAGTAACTCCCCTTTCCTGCCTTGTAGAATAAATATACAAAGTATTCTTAAACAATAGCACTCAAAGAATTAACACCATATATAGTCTACCACAAACTTTTTTTGATTGTGAGATTTAAATTTCAGTTAACTCTTTTAACAATTCAAGCGTTTTCACAACTGAAAACGTCAGGAAGCTGATGGCATTCACATCTCTGTATCCATCTTTGTTTTTATCCATACGTACAAAAGAATATATGAGACATAAAAATAAACATCACTAATCTTAAGAAATATTTAACCTTTTCTTATCAGACTCTGGCTCTATGTTTTTAATGAGTTTCTTCTGAGCAACAGAATCCTATACATTTTATAATTGAGCGAAGAGTGAAAGAATTTTAAAATTCCACAGAACACGGGAGTTCTGAGAAGTACCCCAAAAGATCTCCTGCACTCCAGACATTCTCCCCCTTGCCCACTTTGTGCCAGAGGAACCCAATTTCTCCTCAATAGTCAAATTCAGTCACCCAGCCAGTAAAGCGGCCCCCTTCTTTGCCTGTTGGTGTGCTTGCCATGAGGAGCCCAACATAGACTGGTGACAATATCAGCTTCTGTTTTAATGGAATCATTGGTGTATTCTTTAACAGTTTTTATTTATTTTATAAATTTTTAAATTGAGATTTTTTACACACAAACACATACCCACCCACCCACCTCGTTTATTCATTCATCTGTTCATTGACACTTAGGCGGTTTTCCATGTCTACACTATTGTAAATAATGCAGCAATGCACATGGGGGTGCAGATAACTTTTCTAGATAGTGACTTTGTTTCATTGTGATAAATACCCACAAGTGGGATTGCTGGATCATATAGTAGTTCTATTTTTAATTTTTTGAGGAACCTCCATATTGTTTTTCAGAGTGGCTGCACCAGTTTACATTTCTACCAACAGTGCACAGGAGTCCCCTTTTCTCCACTGTCTTACCAGCATTTATTATTTTTTGTCTTTTTGATAATAGCCATTCTAACAGGTGTGAGGTGATATTCTCATTGTGGTTTTGAGTTGCATTTCCCTGATGAATGTTGATGTTTAGCACATTTTTCATGTACCTATTGGACATCTCTGTGTCTTCTTTATAAAAATGTCTATTCAGATCCTCTGCTCATTTTTAAATCAGATTGTTTGGTTTTTTGCTATTGAGTTGTATGAGTTCATTATATATTTTGGATATTGGGGGTTTTTCGATTACTGATCCAGTCTGACTGATTCAGTCTGTTTGGATTTTCTGTTTCTTCATGGTTCAGTCTTAGTAGTTTATATGGTTCTAAGAATTTATCCATTTCTTCTAGGTTGTCCAATTTGTTGTCATGTAATTTTCATAGTAGTCACTTTATGGTTCTTTGTATTTCTTTAGTATCAGTTGTAATGTTTCCTCTTTCATTTCTGATTTTAAGTCCTCTCTTTATCTTGGTGAGTCTTAGCTAAAGGCTTGTCAATTTTATCTTTTTTAAACACCGCTTCTTAGTTTTATTAATCTTTTCTATTGTCTTTTTGGTCCTTATTTCATTTATATCCACTTTGGTCTTTACTTCCTTCTGTCTACTAACTTTGGATTTAGCTTATTACTCTATTCTAGTTGCTTGTGTTGTTTGTTTGAGATCTTTTTTAATGTTGACATTTGTCACTATGGATTTCTCTCTTAGAACTGCTTTTGCTACATCCCGTAAGTTTTGGTATGTTGTACTTTCATTTTCACTTGTCTTAAGGTATTTTCTGATTTCTCTTTTGATTTCTTCTTTGACTCCATTGGCTGTTCAGTAACATGTTATTTAATCTCCATCGTTTGTGAATTTTTTAGTTTTCTTTTTGTAATTGATTTTTAGTTTCATACTATTATGGTCTGAAAAAAATGCTTTCTTGATTTTGATCTTAAATTTATTAAGACTCATTTTGTGTTCCAATATGTGACCTATCCTAGAGGATATTCCACATGTGCGTATTCTGCTGCTCTGGGATGGAATTGTAATATCAGTTGGTTCAATTTATTGTTTAAGTCCAAGGTTTCTTTATTGACTTTATTAATGGATTATCTAGTCATTGATGAAAGTAGGGTATTAAATTCCCCTACTACTATTGTATTACCATCTATTTCCCCTTTATATTTGTTAATATTTGCTTTATATGTGTAGGTGCTCCTATCTTGTATGCATAAATATTTGTAAATGTTACATTCTCTTGCTGGATTGACCCCTTTATTATTATACAATGACCTTCTTTGTCTCTTATTACAATTTTGTCTTAAAGTCTATTATGTCTGGTATGTATATGTATATATGGCCAACTCAACTTTCTTTTGGTTTTCACTGACATTGAATATTCTTTTTCCATCCCTTCATTTTCAGTCTGTATGAGTATGTGTCCTTACATCTGAAGTGAGTCTCTTATAGGCAACATGTTAATGGGTCTTGTTTTATTATCTATTCAGCTACTCTGTGCCTTTTGGTTGGAGAATGTAGTCCATTTACATTTAAAGTAATTATTAATAGGTACATACTTTTTGACATTTTGTTTATTGTTATCTGGCTGTTTTGTAATCCTTTGTTCCTTTCTTCTTTTGATCTCTTTGTGACTGGGTGGTTTTATGTAGTGGTGTGTCTGCTTAGATTCCTTTATTTATATATTTATTTATTTTTATTTTATTTTTTGTGTGTGTGCATCTACTGTAGGTTTTTGCTGTGTGGTTAACATCAGGCTTACCTAAAACATCTTTTATTTATAACAATCTATTTAAAGTTGCTAACAAGTTAAGTTTGAAAGCATTCTAAAACTCTACATTTGTACTCTCCCTTCAAACATCTTATGTTTTTGATGTCACAATTTATACATTTTTATCTGTGCATCTGTTAACACATTTTTGTATAGTTATTTTGAGTACTTTTGTCTTTTCATCTTCATAACTAGATTTATAAGTGATTAACCGCAACCATTACAACTCTATATTTACCTTTACCAGTGAGATTTATGCTGTCATTTATTTTTCTGTACCTGTAAACTGAATCAGTAAGACTGGAATTAGCACCCTTTCATTTCAGCTTAAAGAAGTCCCCTTAACATGTGTGATAAGGCCTGTCTAGCAGTGCTCAATTCCCTCAGCTTTTGCTTGTCTGGAAAACTCTCAGTTCTGAAGGACAGCTGTGTTGGGTAGAGTATTCTTAGTTGTCAGTTTTTTTCCTTTAGCATTTTGAATATATCTTGCCACTCCCTCTGGCCTGCAATGTTTCTGCTGAAAAATCTCCTGATGGTCTTATGGGGGCTCCCTTGTATATAATAAGTTGTTTTTATCTTGCTGCTTTTAGGATTCTCTCCACTTTAACTTCTGGCAATTTAGTTTTAATGTGTCTTGGTGTGAGTCTCTTTGGGTTCGTCTTATCAGGAACTTTCTGGAATTCCTGGATCTGTATGTCTGTCTCCTTCCTAGGTGAGGAAATTTTTCAACCATTATTTGTTTAAATAAATTTTCTGCCCTCTTTTCCATTTTTTCTTCTTATGGGACTCCAATAATGTGAATGTTAGTCCATCTGATATTGTCTCATAAGTCCCTTAAGCTATCATCCCTCTTTTTTTACTTATTTATTTACTTACTTGGCTCCTCTGATGGATGAATTTCACTACCCTGTCTTCAAGTTTGTTGATCCTTTTTTCTGCTTTATCTAGTATGATGGCAAACCCTTCTTTAGAATGTTTCAGTTCAATTATTGAATTTTTCAGCTTTGTGATTTCTGTTTGGTACTTTCTTATATTTTCTGTCTCTTTGTTGAAATTCTCACTTTGTTGTTCTCCTGAACTCAGTGAGCATTTTTATAATCAGTATTTTAAACTCTTTATCAGGTAAATCACTTATTTCTGTTTTATTAGTTTTTTTCCTGAGTTTTTTATCTTGTTCTTTTATTTGGAATGTATTCCTTTATTTCTTAATTTTTTATGATTCTCTGTGCTTGTATCTGTGTGATAGATAAAACAGTGGCCTCTTAGTCTCAAACAAACAATCTCTTGTTGGAGATGAAACTTATAGTTCAACCCTCCCAGAGCTCTCAGTTGTCTCTCAAACCTTTGTGATTGTCCAAACAACCTTCTTTGTTCTTAGTGGTTTCCAGTAGCTGAAGGTGTACCAAGACCTATCAGTGTCCCAAAGAATAAGATTTTGGGCAGCACCTAGATACAGGCTGATTGGAAGCCAAATCCTCAAGCAGCCTCTTTTAAAATATATAAATATATTTCTTTCAGGGAAAGACTTTGAGATGGGCATTACTGCCTGCTCCTTCTGTACTGAGTCCTGGTGGGAAGAGGAGGTTGGTTAGCTAATTAAGACCTATTTCTTCTTTTGCCGTTGTCTACAAGCTCCTTCCTTGGAGACACCAGTGCCCTGGAGCTGGGTTTGGCACAAAGATGATGTCTGGCTACCTACCCAGTCTCTGGAGAGGATTGTAGTAGGTCCCTACAGGTGTGTTAAATTAGATGCCTGCCCCTCAGGCTGTAGCTGTTAAGGTAAACTAATAGCCTCTTTCACAGAAAGACTGGATATTTCTGTCTGCTGCCTCCGTGCCGTGCTCTGGAGGAATAGATGGTTAAGGATTATTTCTCTACTATTTGTTACAGACTTGTGGGATGTGCCAACATAACCTTTGTTGGCCACCAGAGCCCGGCAATCAAGAAGCATCCTCTGGGTGGCAGATGCAAAAACCATTGTGCCAGACATGCGCACAAACTCCATTTGCTCTTCAAGCTGAAGCTATTAAGGTAAGCGAATAGCTTCTTTCGTGGAAAGACTGGTAGCCTTTCATTTTGCTGCGTCTGCATTGGGCCCTGGGTGGTGAGCTGTGGTGACTTTCTGTGAGCCCTTTAAAAGCTGTCTTTTAGTTCACTATAGCCTTGTGGGTCTTGTAGGTGCAAGACCCGTTGGCTTTCAAAGCGAGGTATTTTCAGGGCCCATATCTCAGGAGGAAATCTTAGAAATCGTGGTGTGAGCTGTGGGTTCCGTACATACCCTTTGCTCCGAAGGGAAATGCTGGGAATTGTGAGTTCCCTCCTGTTGTGTGTCGGTGTGTCACTGTGCCCATTGTGGGGTTCACGGGTTCACGGTGAGATTGTGTCTCAGCCTCTTCTGCCCACTTTAATGTGGGTATTTTCTTGTTTGCTGCTCTGTAGGAGTCACTCAGCTAGCTTCTGAATTTCCCTGAGAGGGAACTATTCTTTATGGATCTGAGTTCAGGAGCCTCTTACACTGCCATCTTAAATCAGAAAAACAGTTTATGGATTCTTATAAGAAATTCTATATCACCAACATTTTTGAAGGCACAGATAATGATATTATGTGGAAATACATGGTTATCCATGGTTGAGGCAAGAAATGACTTGGGAATGTTGGACTCAATGAGAAGTTTTAAGAGTACCATAACCAATTTATTTCACTCATGTTTTTCTCTTAATGTTTGCACAAGAATTAGATATAACAATTAAGTATAAAAGGCTCTTTTACTAGGTATTAAGTAAAAGTTCCAAGTGATAAGGAAGCATGTGTTAGTTTTTAATTGCCCACATTGTTTCTTTCTTAGTGGTATGTAAACTAATCATGTCTCTTATAATGTGTCTTAAGATTTGAAGTAATGCAGAATATAGCTTAAAATAATTCTCTAAACATGTTCATACATTATTTCATTTGATCTTTATATGAATACTGTGAAATAAGGTAGGCATTGTTATTTCCATAAGGCAAATAAAATTCAGGTAATTTTAATTTTCTTATAGGTGAGGTTATATTTAGTTTCATAGACTTTTGAACTTAAGCTAATAAAATAGTTTAGTAATTTGCTTTCTATAACATTAGGCCACAAATTTAAAGCGTTCCTACTGTTGAATAGATCATGTTACATAATGACACCGTTTTGAAAGTGTTTCATACTACAAATGAAAGATGGGAGTTAAGCATAGGGAGACATGTGTGAAGTTAGGGAATACTTAAGTATGACAGAAATTCCTGGAAGGAAGCAAAAGATCAAACTTGGGAGAAATGTGTGGTGTGGAAAAATATCTTAACTCTAAGCAAGGTCCTTTTATGGTATGTATTGTCATATTATAAATTCAGGTCTTGTTGTTTAGTCCTTCAGTGGTGACTGATTTTCTCCTTGATGCTGTGCCTGCAAATTATATAGCTGCTAATAGTTACTCCTTGGTAGTCGGGTTCTTGCTTCCCAAGCAAAAGAAACCAACTCCGGAAGAATTATTAGTTTACAGAATCAGTGGGAAGCTGGAAAACGAGGCTCAGAAAACGAGAGGCCAAGAGTGTGTAGGCAGCCAAGAACACAGCCGAGGCCATGCTATGGGAGCAGCCTCATGCCATCATACTCACCGTCACAGCGCTACACTCAAGCGACGGCAGGCTCCCTGCTGCCCACAGTCTGGGACAACCAACATTCTGGCCTTACAGTTGCCTCCTGTTAAGAGTCATACATTGTTGAATTCCCAAAATGGGGATTCAGGTTTTGGGCAGCCAGAAAAACTACAGGTACACTTGATTATTACAAATTATGCCATATATATGTTGTTTAAACAGGACTGAACACAATATTTTAAATATACATTTAATAAAGCCATTTTTAGCTATAAGGAGTTGTTTTATTATTGCTGCTTTTCTTTTAAGAAGTGCTAGTCAGTTTTGGAAAACCTGGAAAGCATTCCCAGAACTACAGCATTCATCCTGCTACGCCATTTTATTAACTCCAAACGTTAAAATATGTAGGAGCATTTACCCCAGGAAATGAATCCACGTCTATCGTGAAATATAATGTGATTCACCTTATCTGCTGGAATTCACCTATAAAACCAATTATGCCTACAGATTGGTAGAGAATCATTTTTAGATTTTCCTTGTTATTACCAATCTCTTTGTAGTCTCTAAGTATCTGACATGTAGTTTATCTATTTGTTTATTAAGTGCTTTTATGTATCACACATTATTATAGGTAGTGGAATATACCAATGAAGAAAGCATTTGAGAGTCCTTCCCTTCATATAATTTATTGGGTTGCAAACAGATAATGAAATAATTTTAAAAAGTATAATGTGATAAAAGGTAAGAAATGTCTTGGTGAGAAATAAGAAAGAAAAAAGGTAAAAGGAGTTTTGGGGGTACAGTTTTAAATAGAATGTTCATGGAAGGCCCTTGTGAGATGATTTGAGTTAAATTCTGAGAAAGTGAGCCTTGTGAATACCGCTGTAGAAAGAGCATTCTAAGAAAATAAAACTTGGTGTGGCTTGGTGATGTGTACATGAAGATGCATTTTCCTGGTTTTGTATATGTTTAAAATTTTCCATGAAAAAACAAAATGTAGCCTTGGTTGTAGAACTTGTATCTAGATTTTATTTCTGTATTTTGGATGAAAAATCAGGATAGAAAATTTAATAGATAGTTTGAAGTTCCTAAAAAAATAAAGTAAAAAAGATTTTACTAAATTACTTTCTCAGAAACAATGTTTTAACATCCTGACTAACTCCAGCTACCATACGATCCAGCTTTGATTAGAGAGTGTTGTTTATTATCCATAACTGTGTTGTGTGTTTTAGTCTTATCTTTCCAATTATTTGTTAAACTCTTAATCATGCCTAACTTTTTAAATCCCCCTTTCTATCATTCTCTTTAAAGTGATTAGGTATATAATAAATTCTCTATAAAAATTAGATTAAAAAGTAAAACTTAATGATGATTTTATTAAATATAACCTTAGTTCTTATAGCATTTTATTGTGTTGAGAATGAAAAAAATAGTAAGGCGCACAAACTATTATACCCACAAGCAATTTAAAAGTTTTGAACTTTAGAGAGTTAGTTAAAAAATACTTTAGGTATTTTTTTTCAAGTAATTGGCCAGATGTGAGGTACAATTTGAATAAAGACCCTTCTTATCACATACTTATCATGAGTTTTCCACACTAAAAAAGTTTGTTTTTTCAGTGGTTTACTTTCTGTTCCCATAGAACTAGGCTACATTGCACAAACATTTTGAGTAAATTCTGTCAGTTTTTCCTTAATATGACCAAGAGTCTTAACAGTTAGGTAATTGTGATTGAAGAAGAAAAACTGAAATCATCCTGTTCAGCCCAAAGCGTTTACTGGACTCTTTAAAAGTTATTTGGCTAGATTGTGAGGTCACACCCAGACACCAAGGAGGAATGTCTCTGAAGATCATTCACTTAGAACCGCCCTGCACTTAGCGGAAGTGGTGACAGGCTGGTCAAGCATGAAGGAGATTCTTGTCACAGAAAAATTTGTCAGTGTTAGTCACACAACTAGAACATAATGTTTAAAGGAAAATGCATGACGGTGCTGGAAAACTGTGTTGGAAGAGCTGTGGCCAAAGAAAAGAGAATTACAAATTGACGGAGAATTGCGCTTTCGTGACACAGACCACTTGGAAGTCTGGTGCATAAAAAGTTTTGTTTTCATAATTTAGTTCACCTTCCTTATGATCTATCTGCTATGAGGCAAAATCTTTAGAGAACAATGTCATTACCTCAGGAAGGAAGGATTACTGCATTAAGCTGACATTCATTTGGCAACATTTTTAGGATGTGGAATGATTCATTATCAGTATCAGACTGTTTAATCATAGGCCTCATCAAATCATAAAAACACTTTTAGAACAGTGACCGTACCTCAGTGTCAAACACAGAAGACATATGGCACATTATAATTCAAAAGTCACCAAACTGTTTTGAGACCACAACAGTAATTTTGATCTCTGAACTTCAATTTCCTCATCTGAAAAATGGAGACACAGATTATCTTTCACTCTACTGAGCCACACAAACCAGGGCTAGATTTTATTTATTTATTTTTAGAAAGAAGGGAAGGGAGGGAGAAAGAGAGAGAGAGAAACATCAATGTGTAGTTTGCCTCTTGCATGTCGCCTACTGGGGACCAGACCCGCAACCCAGGCATGTGCCCTGACTGGGAATTGAACCGATGGAATACTACACAGCAGAAAGAAGGAAAAGAGCTATTACCCTTCGTGACAGCATGGATGGAACTGGAGAGCATTATGTTAAGTGAAATACCTGGGGGTGAAAGACAAATATGATCTCACCTATAAGTGGAACCTAATCAACAAAACAGACAAGCAAGGAAAATATAACCAGCAACATTGAAAGAAAAAAGAAACTGACTGTAATGAAAGGGAAGGAGAGAGGAGGGTAACAAGGAAAAGAAGGGGAAGAGGGTCAAATCAAGGAACAAGTTTAAAGGACCCATGGACAAAGCCAGAATGGGGAAGGATTGAGGGTGAGAGGTGGGGGTGGGTGGGGCAGGGGAAAGTGGTGGTGGGAAAATGGAGACAAATGTATTTGAACAATATAAATAAATAAATTAATTAAATAAAATGAGTCTCTCGTTGACAGCGCGCGTGCGTGCACACACACACACAATCTTTCATCTGCATTTATGCGTATGTTTTGAGTATACCAAAATTCTGAGCCTCGTTTCTCCAGGCAGAAACCTGAGCAAATGAAAAATAAATAATAAAAGAACCACCATGGTGCCCTCAGAAAGAATGTTCTTGTTAATTGCTAATCATCCTCCCCAGGGAGAATTTCTTTAGATTTCTACCTGAGGGTCGGGGCTTTGTTTAACAGTCTATGATATCACAAATTCCCTGTTCAAGCATCCTTCATTTACTCATTCTTTTAGTGAGCTGGTCATTCACCAGATATTAAGATCCTACCATATGCCAAGCACTGTGCTAGGAA